GTTCTCCAGATTTCTTAAATGCTTTGTATAAACCAGATTCGAACATAGTATTTTAATAAGGTTCTTAACTATGTCAACATACTCAAAGTGTTCTTCCTATACTCCATCACCATCTTTTAAAAATAATAGTTCATTGTTGATTTACGTTTAGCTTGTGCTCCCATTAATGACTCCTAGATTTTTGCCTGCTTTATGTATACGTACTCAGGCTTCTCAAAACACATGGAGTGTTTTTTCCTTAGCTTACTACCATGTACTTATTCAGATCATACTGTTTTCAAGGATTTTTTTCTCTAGTTTGTTGCAATTACTCAAAATCTCTGTACAAATTGAACATAACAATTCAGCAAATATTTATTAAGTCCCTGCTCTGTTTGATGTATTTTGTTAGATCTTGGGGTTACAAAGATAAGAAGGGCTTGATCTGTGCCCTGAAAGTACTTATTGATCTCGATCCTTTTAATAGGTTTTTCTTCTCTAACTTTTTAATCTCAGTGACTGTCCTCTGAACACTCTCCAAGTCTGTCTTAAATAGTGGCAGTCAGTCTTAGCCACAAAACTATGTTAAATGGCCTATTTGTGCTAAACATATTAGGAATGTTACCTAATTAGCATCCTTTACATTCTCCATCACCTAGAGGATTATTTGTCTATGCAACCATAATGAATCCTAAAGTCAGTTGTGTTATCCCAGGATTTAGCTTGTTCCTAAATTTTGCTACACCTTTGGACAGGTGACTAATTGTGAGTCTCCCCCTCCTAAGAATATCGTAATAATATGCAGTCTGTCTTAAACTTATCCCTCATATGCCTAATCAGGAGATGATTCCCAAGTGTCTTCCTGCACTAACTAATGATAGCTAATGTTTACATAAAGCTTACTATGTGTCAGGGACTGTTCTAAGTGCTTTACTCATATTATCTCATTTGATCCTCACAACAATCGTTAGAGGTAGGTGCTGTTATTATCCCCATTTTACAAATGAAGAAACTGAGGCAAATAGTAGGTGTTTGAGGCTGGATTTGAACTCGGGTCTTGCAAGCTTTATCCACTGCACTTTATGCCCCAACACAAAACTAACATAAAGAAGAAAGAAATATTGGAAAATCGATTTTGATTTTTGTTTATAATCCTGTTTGTGAATCTTATCGTTCATGTCAATTCATAGCCGATTTGGTGTGGCCTAGAGGCCAAGGAAGACCTGGGTTCAGGTCTCATCTCTAATGCATACTAGTTTGTGTGACTCTGAGCAAGTCACTGAACCTCTCAGTGTCCTAGGCTGTTCTTGAAAAAGATGTCATACTCCATTGGTAAAGGTAGTTTTCTCACCCAGGAATTCCATATACCATTGAAATTATGTGTTCAGTTCTCATCCCTGTTTATTGTTCATTTTAAAGGTATACTTTTGACTACATAGCTATTTGTAAAGGGTGTGTATTGGCATTATGTGTGTTGCATTTCACACTTTGAGCCACTTTCAACCAACAATTTCATGTGTTAAAAACCTCTTAAGGATAAATATCTCCCTTATGTAATTATGTTTGATAATAAACAGCATGAGAAGACAGGTTTAAACAGTACAGATTTGTTCCTTCTCTTCTACTGTGAACTTGAGTAAGACTTTATCCTCACCTCAGTTTAGAATTAACCTAAATGATGGAAGATTCTTTAACATTTTTGTTATTCTTCCTTATTGTAGCCATTTCTCAGTGTTCAGGCCTCATGCTAATGAGCTAATGAATGATTCATTAATTATTAGTTAGGCAGTAGGTGGCTCAGTAGGTAGAGCACTGGGCCTAGAGTCAGGAAGACCTGATTTCAAATCTGGCCTCAGACATTTAATACCCTGGGCAAGTCACTCAAATTCTGTTTGCCTCAGTTTGCCCATTTGGAAATGGGAAGAGTAACAGCATCTACCTCTCAGGGTTTTTGTAAAGATCAAGTAAGATAATATTTCTAAAAAGCCCTTAGCACAATGACATTTCCCTTTCCTTCCCCTTATTAGAATTACTGATTTGGGTCTAAATGTGTGATTTCATCAATTTGAGGAACCCCCACTATGAAAACGTCTACTAATGGAAGTCAGCAATTTATCTGGCAATTTAAAATCTCAATAAGTTGCCTGAGGCACTTAAAGATTAGATGACATGACCATGGTCACACATTCTAATGTGTCATAAACGGTACTTGAACTGAAGGCTGAGCAACTTGTTTATATACCCTAACATTCAGGAGTGGGGGATCTCAGTTTAATTTTTTCTGGATCTCAGGGCAAGTATCTGTACTTGTACATAAAATACTTGATGAATTATCCTTGTATTAAATGTAAGCTGCTATTATTGCTGCAGAGGTGTAAAATTACTTTAAAAGAACCCCAGAGGACACAAGATGATTTGTTCCATTAATATCTGTGTGAATGTATGTCTCTGTGTGTATCTTCACAAATTACTGTGTGTTTCTACTTTACTTTGTATATCTGTGTTTTTCTCTCTTAGTAACTATGATTCATTGTGCATCATTTCCCTTTGTATAAGGTCTGTGTGTCTTCTCTGTCCCTCCTGGGGTCTCTTTTCTCTCCCCCGCCTCTCCCTTTCAGTGTATCTCTCTTCTCTGCATGATATTTTCTGTTGTCATCTTTCTCTTCTTTCCTCTTTTGCGTTTCATCTCCCCTGACTTTTTTTTTTTAACTTTAACTAGTTCTCATATAGTAGACTTGATTTTTCTAGGTGTTTTAATTATTTATTGAACAGAATCTTATGTTCTCTTTTCTCATTTTAAAAGCGACTCAATGAGGCATAGATATCATCTTGTACAAAAGTCAACTTATTTCTTTTTTGTTTATTTAGCCCTCAGTTGAATGTTTTCCATGTGCTTGATGAGAGGGAAAAATGAAAGAGGATCATATTAGAAGGAGAAAACTAGGTTTGGCCAGTTACTTTTGAAGAGACTCTGAAGCAGGCTAAATGACAGGGATGGAAATTCACTTTTCTTTTTGTTTATCTTGATCTTCATCCAAGTGCTTTATCTATTGCCAAGTTTTAGCCCAATTACTTCTTTGCAATTACAAGAATGAAGGAAGCTTTGCCATCTTCAGTCTGCAGACAGCACATGGGTTTGGTTTATTATTGTAAAGGCTCTTTGTTGTCAAAGTTAATCTAGGTAAAGTTTGAATTAATATGGCTAACCTTCCTTTAAAAAAAATCATGTTTTCTAGTTCTATTTCTTCTCTTTAACCTCTCCTGAATCTTTTCATGGGGCCCTTAGTTGACTTGAGTTTTTCCTCCTCTACCTTAATTCACTCACCGTGCTAGTGGAAATGATAAACAAACAGTGGGAGAGGAGAATAGCAAAGAACATGAACAATCTAAATATAGATTTTGACTGCTTGAACATCTTGAAAGTTAGAATTAATTTAAGTTGTTTTTGGTTTTTTCCTTAAGCTAGTAATGTCAATAGGATTCTGTATTGTGGGGGAAAAAAATTTCCAGAGAGACATTGCATAGGGCAAGGTTCTCTGCAATCCTTCAAAATTCTGTATGAAAGGAACGTCTTCTTACTCACTAAGCACTTATTAAGGACCTGTTATATGCCAGGCACTGTGCTAAGTGATAGAAATACAAAGAAAGGCAGCAGACAGCCACTGCTCTCAAGGAGCTCACAATCTAAAGGGGGGACCATAAGCAAATGAGTACAAGCAAACTACATACTACAGAGGTGCCCAAAACTCTGCGATCCCTTGATGCAGAGGCAACACTCTTGAGAGTCCTGAACCAGATTAAACTGTAAATGAGTATTTGACAAAATTAAGAGAACATAATAAAAATAAAATGGAACATAGATAAAGTTAATCTGTGGTTTTCTAAATCAGTAATACTCAGCCGACAAGGGTCCTTATGTATGGTTTAGTGGCCCCTGTTTCTATTTGAGTTAGATACCACATTATAGGAAATTAAGGAAGGGAAGCATTAAGAGGTATTGTTAAAGACTCCTGTAGAAGGTGGAATTAGTGAATTGGAAGTCTCATTGGCCAGTTTTTAAATACTATTTGAGTCTTGTCTTTTCATTCAAATACCACATGCCTGGAACCCAGTAGGTACAAATAGCGAGAAGGCATTTTGGCCCATTCTCTTTGGGTAGTTCATAAGTTCAAAGATTTAGAACTATAAAAGGACTTTTAAAGCTCATCTGGTTTGACAAATGAGGAATCTGAGGCCCAGAGAATGCTTTGCCTGAGGTAGTAAGTATCGAAGTTGGAATTTAACTTGAGTCCTAAGACACTCTGGCCACCATATTGTTTACCATCGGAATACCTAGAGCACTTTGAGTTCGATTTTCCTGGGATAGATTCTTCAGACTAAGAAAGAAGTGAAGGAAAAATGTTACATGTAACAAACAACTCACTCCTTGGAATTGAGCACTGCAATGTTTTAACCCAGAAGCAAAAGTATTCATAATTAGCAACCTTCATATGAGAATATAGAGGCCTGAATCTAGACCAAAGTTGAATTCACTTTAAATGTCAGCATAAAGAGAACATACAGTATCCCCACCCTACGATTCCTTTTCCGTTTCATCTCATCCATGACCATCATAGACATGGTTACTCATCCCTAAAAACTCCAAACCATCACCTATCCTTCCAGACTAGACTATATTGAACTTCAATAACTGACTTTTTAAGAAAGTTTGTTTGACATTCTCATATATTTTTTATTTTAGTCTAAAATGCAAAGGGGGGACCCACGTTACTACTTGTTTCAATGGACATTTAAATTACAGGCAGTATTGAACAAATAGGCCAGTAACTGACCTCCTTTAGAAGTGTATAAATTGTTGATCCTTGTAGGATTACAACCCTCAGCCATGGCAGGCTTTTTCCAGTAGCAATAATTTTAACATTGTATTCCCAGTAACAGAATGTGGCTTTAGTAAATAATTATACAAGATGCATACATGCAAACTTAAGTCAAGTTTTGTCTTTGTTACGCTTCTCTCCCAGTACCATGAGCTCACGACACTCTGCCAGTCCAGTTGTTTTCACCAGTGCCAGAAGTTCACCCAAAGAAGAGCTTCATTCTGCCACTTCCCCGCAACTTGCACCTTCTTTCTCCTCCTCCTCTTCCTCCTCTTCTGGTCCTAGGACTTTCTACCCTCGGCAGGGTGCTACTAGCAAGTACCTGATTGGATGGAAAAAACCTGAAGGGACAATAAACTCTGTGGGGTTTATGGATACAAGAAAGTAAGAGCATTTTTTGCTTCTATTGCTTGGTTGTTCATTTTAAACATGAAGACAAGAAAATCCAGAGCTGCTGCTTTAGAGAAAACAACATAAAAGGGGGAGGGGGGAGGCAAGGAAGAATGTGCATACTTATTATTTGTGATCTTTATTTGTGTCCATAGTGATCAAGTCATCATTTCACCGATCCTTTTCCTTGAATGAGCAATGACATAGAGTGACATTAGGATTTGAGTGTCAGATCTCCAAAGATAAGAAAACACACTTCAGAACAACTGGCCAACTGGTGTACCTTTTGAACACTTGGACCACTCTGATGTTGTTTCAGTTGTTAAGTGCACAATTCTCAGCTGACGGTAGCAACTATACATGCAGCTGAACACAAAAGAGAATACCTCAAAGGGAATCCCTGAACACATGCACGCACACACACGTGTAGATTTTTGTACTTTTCACACAATAGAAATTGAAAGATATGTTGAATCGTTTGTTTTTGTTTACACAGAAAACATTTAGGGGTGGATAACCAGCATTTTTTTTTTAATGGGTCTAGTGTCATTTTTTTAATTCAACTTCCACATTTATATTGACTTATTAAAGTGATTAGCCCTTTAGTATTTAAAGAGTTAATTATTTAAATGTGATTTCATTCCTTTAACAGGTGTTTATTTAAATAAGATCTACTGTAATTACACAAAATTCACTTCTCTCCTCCACAGCCTTCTCCCCTAGTTTAGGGTGCTACACTCAGTGTTATTGATTTTAGTTTCTGCTATCTCTGTTTCTTTTAAGACGCCACCAGAGTGATGGCAATGAAATAGCCCACACCAGATTGCGTGCCTCTGCCAGGGACCTCCGGGCATCTCCAAAGCAAACATCTAAGTCAACGATTGAGGAGGATCTGAAAAAACTAATCGACTTTGAAAGCCCAACTCCTGAGTCACAGAAAAATTTTAAGGTATGTGAAAGGAGTTTTCTCAAGAAATAAGTAATTTGTCAATCAATGAGCTTTAATTAAGAACTTTAAGGCAGTCTCTACTCTCAAAGAGCTTATATCCTAATGGGGAGACATAATTGTGTACAAAATAAATACAGGGTAGTGTTTGGGGGAGGGGGGGATGGTTAGGAGAAGGGCACAAGCAAGAGGGAAGACCAGGAAAGTCTTCATGTACAAGGTGGTACTTGAATCCAGTTTTGAAGGAAACAATCAAAAAACCTTTATTAAGGACTTACTATGTTCTGTTGCTAGAAATACAAAAAGAAAAGGGGGGGTGGGACAGAGGCACCGTTCTGCTCTCTAGGAATTCGTGTTCTAATGGAGCAGACAATATAAATAACTATGTGTGTGCATGGAAGGGTATCTCAGAGGGAAGTACTGGCAAGAGATGGAGCCTGTAAAGGGCAGGGCAGGGCAGGAAAGGCTTCTTGCAAAAGGTGAGATTTGAGCTGAGTCTTGAAGGAAGCTGTGGTGGCTAAAAAGTAGAGTTGAGCAGAGGACAGCATTTCAGGCATGGAGTCAGGAGGTTGTGTGTGAAGAGCAGCAAGCAGCCCCATGTAGCTGAATAATAGAGTGCATGAAAAGGAATGAAGGGTAAGAGTGATAAAAACCTAGGAAGGGACCCAGTTGTCTGGCTTTCAGTGCCAGACAGAAGATTGTATTTGATCTGAGAGGTAACAGGGAACCACTGAAGCTTATGGAGCAGGGCTTATTGAAGGCAGGATTACAATGGCACACAGAGCCTTTAGGAATTGGGGGTGTGGGGGCGGGGAACCAATTAGACAGTTATTGCAGTAGTCCAGGTGTTAGGTAATGAGAGCCTGAGCCAGAGTTGTGGCTGTGTGAGTGGGAGTTGGGGTAGAGGGGGCATATATAACCCACAGTTCGTGAGTGTGACCTGGGTGCTGGTCCAGCGAAGGAGACTGAGGAAGAGTAACCATAAAGGTAGGAGGTGAACCAGGAGAGAACAGTCATGAGAACCTAGAGAGCATCCAGGAGAAGCTGGTAATCAACAGTGTCAAAGATTGCAGAGAGCTCACAGGATATGAGGATTTAGGAAAGCCTGTTAGATTTGCCAATTAAGAGGCAATTGTCAGCTTAGAAAGGAGAAGTTTCATTTAATTGATAAGGTCAGAAGCTAGACTTGTGATATATCTATTAAACATACATAGCAAGAGGTAAAACTATACAGAAGATTAAAAGATATTTCATTACAAGGTCAGTGAAACTGGGGGACAGAAAGCCAAAAACTTACATGGTTGTATTTGGTCACAGAGTTAAAAGTGGGTAAGTGATGTCTTTTAAAAAATTACAGAACATTTAGTTGAGGAAAAATTCATGATGAAATGAAATTTATCCTTCTGTAATAAAAAATTAAAAATTCGGGTTTTTGCTGACTCGATTTATACACAATATAGATTGAAACTCTTCCTTTGACAGCATCAGGAGGGTTTAGAGGACAGTGAAAGGAGAGGAAATGTAGGTACCTAGTGTAGACAGACAATTTCTCTTAGATTTTAGCCAAGAAAGAGAGGACCCATATAGGACAAGAGCTTGTCTCATATGGGCATCGATCAAGAGAGCCAGCCTGTATGGTTGGATTAAGAGATCAAGAGAGGCTGTTAAGTCTGGGAGAGATGTGGATATGTTTGTAGACTTCTGGGAAGGAACCAGTAGAAGCTAAGAATTCTAAAAAGAAGAGATGAGGTGAAAATACATTGGAGACATAGGGGACAGCCATTGTTAATGACATGGAGATAGAAGGTGGAATGTCTTGTGAGGAACAGCAAGAAGTCCCCTTTGGGTAAATTGTAGAGTGTAAGAAGGGGGATAATGTACTTTCAGATTGGAAAAGTAGGTTAGTAGTAAGTTGTGAAGGGCTTTTAAAGTTTAACCTAGAAATTTATCCTTTATCCTAGGGGCAATAAGGAACCATTGGAGTTTATTGAGTAGGGAAGGCACATGGTTGGACCTGAACTTTAGCAAAATCACTTTGGCACCTTTGTGGGTAATAGGTTGAAGAGACTTGAAACAGGGAAACCAATTAGGAGGTGAGAGGTGATGAGGGACTGACTAGTGCTGGCTGTATGTGTAAGTGGAAAGAAGGCGAGAGAAAGTGGAGATAGAAAGGACAACATTTGTCAGTTGGTTAGATGTGAAAGTGAAATGTAAGGTAAAGCATGGATTGACTGTTGGTCTGATGATCCTCATATCACTCTTTCAGAATACTAGAAGATCCTGTCGATTTTTTTTTTTTACTTAGTCCTCCCAGATCCTGACTTATAAGACTGGAATTATCTTTGACACTCTTATCTCCTTGATTTCCCCTAAATCATGTCATCATTAAATCCCTCTTATGTTTTCTGAACTTTAAAAAAAATTGATAAAGAATCATATTGTAAAACATAGGTTGGTTTTGGTCAGTTACTTTGGAAGGTTCCCTAAAAGAGATTGAATTACAATGACTCCTTAAGTAATTTTATCCTGATTTAATCAAAATTCATTTTTCCTTTTGTATACAACCATATGTGAATGGGTTTTGTCCTTGTTTCCTCATTAGATTAATCCTCATTAGATTAAAAGGTCTCGAGATAATGAATAGTGTCTTCTGAACTTTTATGTTCTCACATAGCATGTAGTATACAATATTCTTCCTAAAATGACTACTTAACAAACAATTAATTAATGACTTGAATGAGTGCATACGCAGCATGCTTATCAGACGTACTAGCTGTGATCAAGTGAGAAAATGTCCATGACGAATTTTAAGAATTGTGAGGAAGATATTTATTACACTTTAGGCACAGAAATAAGTAAAAAGTTACTAGGCAATTTTGGTTTGTTCTTATTGCCATTAAATATTAAGTTCCTAATAAAACATCTAATTTTTTTTTGTTTGTTTAATATAATGTGATCTTAGGAGTGTTGAGAGAAGCATGATATCCAGAAAGAGGGAGGTGATAGTTCCTATGTCAGATCACATCTATAGTATTATGCTTAGTACTGAATGCCACATTTTAAGAAGGACGTTGACAAGCTGGATATTATTCAGAGAATGACCATGATGGTGGACTGACCAGAGCCCATGATATGCAAAAGATCAGTTTTAGGAAGTGGGGATGTTTAACCTGGATAAAACGTGGGTGCTGGGTTAAGCAAGGGCAAGGAAAAGTCCTAATTGTCTTTGAGTATTTCAAAGGTTATTGTATGGAAGAAGAGGAATTGTGTTCTTTTTTTCCAACAGGTATAACTAGGAATCGAGGACAGAAGTTTCAAAGAGCCAAATTAGGTTCACTGTTTTAAAAAAAAATTCCTAAGCACTGAATCTATTGAAAATTGGAACAATCTGTCTTGGAGAAGTAGTGGGCTTCCATGTCCCTGAAGTTCTTTGAGCTGAGGCTGGGTGACCACTTGTCAAACAGGTTGTAAAGAGAATCCCTCTTCAGCCATAGGTTTTATCTAGATTGCTCCCAAAGTCTCTTCCAACTCTGAGTCTGTGATTCTGCAATTTTGTCGATACTATTGGCTGACAAATATCATTTTGCTCAGATCCCTCCTATAACAACGACAAAAGAAATCTTCATGGTCATACATATTTTCCCCTCAATTCTAACACAGACTTTCTACCATGACTGCTCTCCCTAAGATGAGGACTGAGGTTTTATCAGCTGGACAGTTGGATACTGTGTTTTGGCTGATAGAAAAGGAAATAAACCTAATAATATTAATTCACATTGATATAACACTTGAAGATTTAAGAAATCACTTTTCCCCACAAAGTCTATGAAGTAAGTAATGCAAATATTATCTCGTTTACTGATGAATAAACTGAGACCTAAGAAGCTTATAGTCACACACAGCTAATAAGGCTAATGACCCCCTACTCTGAAATTTTTGACTACCCTTTATTTATTTGTTTTTGACTACACTCTAGAACAACCTAACCTTTGTTGTGTCCTGGACCACTTTGACAAGTGAAGCCTGTGAACCCTTTTAAAGAACTTCTAGTATTGGTTGAAAATAAAAATTACGATATTCCCTCAACTGTCATTGATACTCCCAGTCTTGATTAAAACAGAAGGGGAATTACTGTAGTCACATATATACTTTTAATATCTCCCTAATCCTATTGTTGGGGAGGAGGGGTTGCTTTTTTCTTTTAGCCAAAAACTGAAATTCTGCTCCCTAAACTTCATCAGTATTTATATGGAATAAATGCTGTTATAATATTTGACCAGAATCTGTTCTAAGATTTTATCAGAAATAATTTATTATTATAAGCATTTACATAATCACTTTTTAGATGTATAGTTTCTTGATTTCCATAATTTCTGTTTTATAAGCCAGCCCTTAACAGTTCAGACTCATCACCCAGGGTACAAATGGTTTCCCTGGCAACCTTTGCAAAAGCAAGTGCTTGCAACTCCTTTCTGTGTTTGTCAAAACCCAAAGAGGCTTATTAAAAAATTTAAATACCATATTCCAAATAACAAATTATTTCATATCTTGTCTTGGAGGTTGGAGGAACATGAAATTTGTTTTGGCAGGAACTTCTACTGTGATTTCTGATTTAAAAGTATTGGGAAGATGAGGGAGTTAAGTTTATGGGTCTTTATTTCTTGGAAAGTTTCATCAGTACAGCAGCCATCACCTTGAACAAACTCCTGGCAGCTGGCAGAGAATTGCTGCTATTGTAGCATCTGAGCTCTGCTGGGCTGGATGTCTAGTTGTCTCTATGAAAAATGGAGGATGGAAGAATTCTTAAGAAAAAACAGTTATGGCCAGCTTTGGTTAAGTGAGGTGACATAGCTGTAGAGTGCTGAAAAACACCCAAGCAGATGGGTGTGGTACGGGCAGCCTGTGTTATGAACAATGCCGTTGTAGCAGTGGCAGGCTTTTCAAGCATTGGCCACATATGCAAACAAATGAAAAGATAGACTTTGAAGGTGGGAAAAGATGTCCGTGCTACTCACTAAATACAAAGGTGGTGATTTCATGTTTATATTGGTAGTAGGCATCCCTCTAATGGCAAGAGCGCTAGACTCTGGGAGTAAGATGGCTTGTGTGCTCATCCCTGTTCTACCATTTACTGTGGAGCTCCAAGAAAATCACTTAACTTTCCTGAAGCTCAGTTTCCTTGTGTAAAATGAGAAGATTGACCAAATGATGATTAAGATGTCTGCCCATTCTGGTATTCCTAGGATTCTGTAATTTTCTTTCCAATTAAATGTGTTTCACATTTCAGTTAGTCCTCTATAGCATTTGATGTTTCTCTCCTTTGGGCAGGACTGAGCTGCCCATCCACACTTACTTAGGTATTTCTGGCTACAAATGATCTAGTTTCCCCCAAAGAGCCTTGACAAACACAGATATGAATATGATGATGATGATGATGATGATAGCAACTAACATTTATATAATGCTTTATGGTTTTCAAAGAGCTTTTCAAATAACTTTTCATTTGATCCTCACAACTCTGAGAGGTAGATACAATTATTATCCCCATTTTACAGAGGAGGAAAATGAGGAAGGCAGAGGTTAGGTAACTTGCCCAGCATCACACAGCTAATTAGTGTCTAAGGCTGGATTTGAACTCTCAGGTCTTCCTGACTCCAGCTCCAGTGCCCTGTCAAGTTCACCACCTAATGGTGTTGGAAAGAAGAGAAGTGTTATCCTCCCACCTTTTTTAGGATCCTTCCTGGAGCTTTAAGTGAACTCAGGTACTGAGGAACCATACTTTCTGTCTTCCAACCTCTTCCTGAAATGTGCAATGTTTAGCCTTTTAATAAGCATACTGATAGTAGTATGTCATAATAAGGTAGACAGACAAATGAAGAGGAACCATTAGCTCCCGAGGCAACACATTCCACTTCTGAATGGGTTTGCCAGAAGGTTTTTCTTGACATGAGTCTAAATCTGCCTCTTTAACCAATGCTTCTAGTTGTGCTTATTGGGTCCAGGCAGAATAAGTCTGACCCCTAAGGCTTCCACATAACAGCCTTTCAGATTCTTGATGGCAGCCAGCTATTCCTGTCACCTATGAATTTTTCCTTTCTTCAAACTAAATAGTCTCAGTTCCTTCAACCAAACTTCATATGACGTTATCTTGAGGCCTTTCATCATCGTGGTCATTTTTCGGATGCTGAAGCTTATCTGGGCCCTTCCAAAAATCTGGTCCATGCAGCTGAATACAGTGTTTCAGATATGTTTTGGCCAGGGCAGAATACAGTGGGACCATCACTTCCCTAAACCCTGGATATCATGCCTCTGGTCAGACAGCCTTAGATCACATTATCCTTTTTGGCTTCCATTCTTAAACAAATATTTCAGACTTTATTCAATTTAACATACTGAACTTAAGCACAATTTTGTGATGTTGGATTTATACAGTCACTTATGGATTTGTCTCTTTTACTATTATACCAACCCTTCAGTGAGTCATAGGATCCTATTGTAACCTCCTACAGGAAGTCCCTTGAACTACCTCCTCCCCTTGGTGCTTCTATTCTTTTATTCTCTTCCATAGGTTGGGGGATACCTATGGGCAACTGTTGGTCAGCTTGCATATACTGTGTTGTATTGCATATTGCTTGGAATAAATGGGCATTTAGGTGCAATTAAGTTTCTGTTTCTCACCAGTGAGTGAACGTAACAGAAATCTCCTGCTTTTACAAAATGTTCAGATAATTTCAGATTTGGTCACAAAAAAGCCAAAGGGACCAGCCAGAGAAACACATGCCTTTTTAAAAGAATTTCACCAGAACGTTATCCACTTAAACAGCCTGCCTTCTCAGAACTTTCTTGTGTTTATTTTCTGGACAAAGAAACCTGTTTCCATGAGCTTCAGGAAGAAACTCTCCATCCCTTTAATATATCTGCCATAAGCCACTAAAGTGATATATTGCACCATAGAAATTTAATTTAACGAATGTTGATAAACTAATAAACAGTGAGCAATGGTCTTGATGCCTAGCAAATTCATTGTAACAGGAGGAAGTAAGAAGGAAGGGATGATTGCATAACAAGCTTCTGTGTGGAGCTTTCATACCACCATGTGTTTCCAGTAGACTTGTAGACACCAGTGTTTGATGATAATCAAATACGTAAGGGATAGTTCCTGAGATCTCAAGCTGGGAAATGTTGGTTTCTTTTGAAAATGCAGAAATTGTAGCTATCTCTAGTCCAGTGATCTTACTCTCCTCTCCCACCCCCACTCCCTCAAGTTCCATTCCTACTCTTTCCTGAACATCTATGGATTCTAGCTCCTGAACAGATGATTTACTCTCTTATGTTGACGTTATTTTACAGTTCCATGGACTTTCCTCTCCACAGTCTCCTTTCCCTTCCACTCCTACCACACGACGAACCTTACACAGAACGTTGTCAGATGAAAGTATTTACAGCGGTCAAAGAGAGCACTACTTCACCTCAAGGACTTCCATTTTGGATCAAGCCTTGCCCAATGATGTCCTCTTCAGCAGCACATATCCTTCCCTCCCAAAGTCTCTACCTTTGCGGAGGCCATCGTATACATTAGGAATGAAATCATTACATGGTAAGTGGGTTTTCCAGATGTTACAATTCTCTTGTAATGGGCCAGTGAAGCAACAGATGGCCTGATTTTTAACTCAAACATAATTTAGAAAATGAAAAAACAACAACTACAAAAAAACACCTTTCCCTCCCCTGATGCAATAATGTGACTCTATTCGTGCCTCTGTACTAGTCCTTTCCTTGCATGGTGGTGGCTACATTATCCATAGTCTCTAGTAGGAAGAACCAATGCAATGTCTAACAATGGGATTGAGGAGAGTGAAGGTATTGAGGAGAGTGAAGGGATTCATATCTAGCTGATATCTTTCTGTTTCTGTTCTAGACAAGAATAGTAGTAGTAATAGTAATGATATCACTAATGATGTTGACCATCATTTGAATGTTTCAGAGCAGTCCTTATAATCATGATATACCTCTGTAAGTGTGTCCTTGACTTTTTTTTCTAGTCTAGATTACATTTGCTGTGACTGGCTGGATCCCCGTATGGTTTGGCACTATAATATGGGAGCATGGAGTAGAAGGAACCTTCCCTTTCACTTGCCAGTAGGACTACTTGCTCCCCTACCCAGATTTCAATTTAGGGTATTTTTTTTTTCTCATAAAGGGCTGTATATGATGGACCATCAGTATAAAGCACTGTCTGACAATCCAGGAAACACTTATAAAGTCCTTGCTAAGTTCAGTAGATTATGCTAGATTGGGATGGGTCTGTGAAGGTAATTTGAAACAGTTCTCTGCATTAGTTAACACTGACCCATGTACCTAATACTCTTCTTCCCTTTATGCCTCCATGTGAATGCAATTGGATTTTTTTTTCACATCCTTTTGAACTGCTGTACTTTCTCATTCTCCCAGATCAATCGTTGCCCCTGTGTTTCTCTTCTGCTTTTTGGCAGTATTGTTCCCTACTCTGATCCCTGCTGGGTTCTCCTACTTTATTTACATCCATCTCCAGATTCATTCACTTTATATTACCTGTGTCCTATTCTTTGCTTAGGGCAAGGCCCCATTCCTCTGCAGTCAGCTTGTTTTTCAGTAGATAAAGCATTCCTAAACTTTTCTGATACTGCTTTCTTCATGTTTAGACCATTCCTGTTGATGGCTTCTCCAATTTCATGCTTGTCCTTGGTTGCTTCTCACATCTCCCTATACCCTTGGAACTACCTACCTTGGCAGTAATCACATCATCATGAATTAAAGGATTTATTAATGTTCATTGTAGTAAATAGGGAGACAATAGACATGCCCTGTTTTAGGGGAACTTAAAAATTAGTTGCCACATAAACCTTGTTCCCATCCTTTACTCTCTTTTATGTTGACATTATTTTATACCATTGTATCCACCATTGTACCCTCTCCCATATCATTGTTCTCTAAATGGTTTCCAGTTGTACATGTAGCATGGTGCATTCTTTCCTTCACTCCCAGTTCACCATATCCTTTGGGAAATGTCCTCCAACTTATTTGCTCCTCTGACTTTCACCTTCTAGAGAATAGAGGTGCAGAGATTGTATACTGCATTTGGGGTGAGAAGACTGTGGTTTGAATTTTGAGTTTGTCATAACTAGCCATGTGAGCATGGAAAAGTCCTTTAGATTCTCAAGATCCTCATCAGTAAAATGGAAATAGTAATACTTACACTGCCCCTCCCCAGTGCTACTGTGAGGAAAATACTTTGTAAGCCTTTTAGAACTATAGAATTGTGAGCTCCTGTTATTATCTTCTTATTCCTTTTCTTCCATCCTCTTCTTCTTGGGAAGAAAAAGTATATATTTCCTGTTTCTTTAGAACATGAATTCCCAGAGGGGAGGAATGATTTATTCAATGTGGGCTGTATCACACCTCACACATAGTTCATACTTAATAAATATTAAATCAGTTGGCTTCACAGTAACTTCAGAGTAATAGGCAGGTGCAGCAAATCCAGCACTATTCACATGCTGAGCTATTTCCTCATGATCAGTGTCAAACAGAGAGAGCCTGATGGTAAAACCACAGGGACTGAATCAAGTGTGCATAGCCCTGCATCGTTTCTTAAGAGACAAAATGCCCGGTCTTTCTGGCTACGCGTGATTTTTTTTTCCCCCTCCAGGCTGCTAACATTGGGGATTGTGCTGGTATTTGATCATCACTTTGAAGGGCTATTCAAGTCGAGAGGTTAATGAACCAAGTCTGGCTTCTGTGCCTTCTCCTGGCCAAAGTGGAAGGGCCATGCTCTCCTGGTTCCTTCCTTTGCCCTCTGCTTTAGAGTTTTTTTCTGAGTGGCAAACAGTAGAACGATTGGTTATTTTAACTAGATTCAACCACCTGTTGCACGCCAGGCACATGGGTTGAGCATACAGAAACTAAACAGACCTTACCCTCAAAGAGCTTGTGTTTTGCCAGGGTCGAAGTTCTTACTGTCTTTTGTGCCATGGACCCCTGTGGCACTCTAGGGACCCCTTCTCAGAAAAATATTTTTAAATATATAAAATAAAATACATAAATTTATAACAGAAGTTATATTGAACATTTTAAACAAGTTCTAAATATTAAAAATATTAAAAAATTAAATATTTCAAAAACATATTTAAAAATATTAAAAAAAAACCATTCTCATACCTCAAGTTAAGAACCCCTGTCCTAGGGGGATACAGCATGTACACAAGTAAATATATTTAAATTAATGAAAATTATTTCAGGACAGAAAAAGGTGCTAAGAATGGGGGGGGGAGGTGGGCAAGGGATCAGAAAAGGCTTATTTATTCAGGAGGTGGCACCCCTGCAGTGCGTGTTCCCAAATCAAGGTAGACCTTGACCAGCTCTAATTATATAGCCCAAAGCCTACTTGTCTATAACTATCACTAAAATACTATTTTTGAGGGGGAGGGGACAGGTATGTGTGGAAAGGGTAGCATTTATTTCCTTTTCAGGAGCATCTGAAATTGGGCCCCTGGAAATAATTTTGAGTGGTGCACAAAAATGTCTGTTCTGCCTACTTGCCCTTGGTGAGAGCCAGTTTAAATAGAACTGAGTATTTAAAATCTCCCAGTATTTGTTGATTTCCATCTACTCATAATTCTGCTAATTTTAAGCACATTAATAACTAGCAGCTGCACTTCAAAGTAGTTCTTTGCGTACTTTGAAAAGGAAAACAACTGCTAAATATATTCCGTTATACCAGCTTATCTTAATTGGCAAAACATTTTAACTCCTTGTAAACAGGTATTTCTAGAGATGCTTATAGATTTCTACTGGTCATTTTTCCTGCCTTTTGTTTTACTTGCATGCTCTGATTCTGTAGACTAATCTCCCAGAACTTCATATCCTGCCCTTGCATCTGCCCTATTTCAGGAACTAACGTTTCAAGAGCCACAGTTTCAGATGACCCTCACTAGCCCTCTTGTTCAGTTTTCTCCATCTGTATAATTTGGTGCTGGCTGTCATGCCCTGAAATGCAGCAAAGTGGCTAATTTCATACCCTCAAATATGGAAATTGAGCTCCTTCTTCAAAACCCCCTAGGAAATATAGCTGTAGAAATGTGTTCATTTGAAGCTTCATTTGGCTTCTTTCAGTGGTTTTGACAATGGTTGAGTATTTATAAAATGACATTGTGTCATTTTGGATTCTATGTATATGACTTAGGATTCAACCCAAGGATGATTCAGAGTTATTGATGTAACCTTTGAAAGGAGAAATAAAGGCTAGTCATGGTCAATTCTTTAACATATGCATATGAAAAATTTTAAAACCTAGCTATCCTCTTTTTATGATCATCCTCTTTTATTTTCTTCTCCTACTACAGGAAAATCCCTAAGGAGAAATAGCCTCTCACTTTCCCCACCTCCAGTTCCTACTTGCACTGACTTCTTAGAACATCTTCTCCTGTACATATTGTTGCTGTTGTATCAAAAGTGTTAAGAGCAGAAAGAATGGATCTTTGTTTCTAGAGCTGGGTTGTAGGTCAGAATAGGATAGAATTTCTTCTGTTGCTTAATGAATTAAAGATCTTATTCTCATCACTTGGCCACCAATTCAGGAGCAATGCTGGTGCGTAAGCAACACCAATCTAAAATATAAATTTGTAAAATTTTACAAAATGGAAGGTGGTTTAAAATTATGATCAGTATGGCTGATAAGATGAGAAGTCTTGCATGCATACATTTAGTTTGGTGAGAGACACAAACATTGGGAAGGCATCTAAGGATGAAAGTAGGAAGGGGACAATATAGGGAAAATGCAAGAGTTCTTTCATTTCTAAGTTTGTCACAAACTCTTTTCTCTATCAACAACATTAGAACTACCACATTTGGACTCTTAGCCTCACATTTCCTGATGTATTAAAAGAAGAGTTAGAGATGTCACTAAAGAAAACAAAGATGGAAAGAGAATTCAACAACTAGGTGACGCAGAGGATGAAGTACTCAATGTGGAGTCAGGAAGACCTGAGTTCAAATCATGCCTCAGACACTAGATGTATGACCCAGGGCAAGTCACTTAACCCCTGCCTCACTTTCCTCAACTGTAAAATGAGGATAATAATATTGCCTACTATTGTGGATCAAATGAGATAATATTTTAAAGTGCTTTTTGCAAACCTTAAAGTGCGGTATAAATGCCGGCTATATATATTACCAACCCACGTCTTCATTTTCATTTCTATGAAATGTTTATGAAAACAGTCAACATATGTGTCAAGGTCCTCCATGAAAGTGTGAGAAAAAAGTCCATCTTTCACAAATTATATTCTGTGGTAGTCCATAGAGAAGCAGCAAGGTGGTGCAATAGATAGAGTGCAGAGCTTGGAGTCAGGAGCATTCGTATTCCTGAGTTAAAATCTGGCCTCAGACACTTTCTAGTTTTGTGACCCTGGGCAAGCTGCTTAACCCTGGTTGCCTCAGTTTCCTCATCTGTCACTAGGCAGAGAAGGAAATGGCAAACCACTTCAGTATCTTTGCCATGAAAACCCCAAATGGGGTCATGAAGAGTCGAATATGACTGAAAAATGACTGAGCAACAAAAGTAGGCCATCTCGTCCCAGTCGCACAATTAACCGTGCGTATTGTTTTTTGAGATAGAAAAAGTATTTGATTCAGTAGGTCTGGATCTCTTTTGGGTGAAAACTCTGCATTGCTTTTGATGACCCCAAGCTTGTCTCTGCAACAAAGATCTATCTTTTTAACATTAATATTCTTCTAGTGATTGTGTATGGCTCTGAATCAGTGCTATATGTCCCAAGAATTAGTGCACATGGCAGACATGAGTATGCTGGAACATACAAACATCGTTATCCTCATCAAAGAATTGTGCAGTTCAAGCAACAGAAGAAAATATCATTAGAGAGGCATTGTTGAAGAAAGAGGCACGTCAGCTAAGTAACAAGAAGAGGATCCCACAGGTGCTCCATTGGAACTTTAATGGAAGAATTCCAGGAGTTGAGTGGCCCGCCTTTGAAGGAGTTACAAGGAAACACAAATAGTTGAAAAGATAAAATAAGGGTGGATGGGTTGCAATCTCTGTAAATACTTTATGAAGACAGGGACTCTGTCTTACCTAAATTTTGCATCCTCCTCACTTCAGTACCTACCGTGTAGGGAGTACTGACATTTTGATCACAAGTTCATCCAAATAAGTATTTTTCTCACCGAAGGGTTCTGGCCAGTTGGTAGCTCCTAGACCACACTAGAATTTCCTGCTGGCTGCAACAAACCAGCATGATGTATGCTGACTGGCCACTGAATAGACATAATTAGGTTCCTAGATGTCTTTGTCCCCAGCAGTCATTATGGCATTAGCTTTGGTGCCCTCCTGGATGAGTCAAATCTGGGGCAATATAAATAGAGATTTAAGAACTTCTAGGGTTTGGGTAACAATGCAGTTGTCACATTCATTCAGCAAAAAATTTAATTAAAGTGTTTTTTTTTTAAGGCAATTGGGGTTAAGTGACTTGCCCAGGGTCACACAGCTAGTAAGTGTCAAGTGGTTGGTCTGAGGCCGGATTTGAACTCAGGTCCTCCAGACTTCAGGGCCGGTGCTGTATCCACTGCTCCACCTAACTGCCCCAATTATTGCCCAAATGTTCTTAGTGATATTCTCTTTTTTTACATCTCATCATTCCCAGTTATACCCATTTTTCTTCCCCTTTCCTCTCCCTCCAATACAACCCTTCCTGCTGATCATTAAATGCAATTTAAAATTAATCAAAAGTCAACAGATTCACTGTTTTTGGAAAGGTCAGCCTCTTTCCACACCTATAGCCCATCATTCCCCTGCCCATGCTTCATTATCCAAGCAAATACTTTAAATAGACACTGCAGATAACTATAGTAGGCACTGAACTGCGGAGGATGCAAAATTTAGATACAACATAGTCTCTGTCCTCATAAAGTTTTACAGTGTGGGAGGAAAATACGAGAACATAGCCATGATATACAGTTTAAATGATGAGTATTACAGTTGTACAACAAATATTAGGTGTGGTCCATAAAGGAAGGTTATTACCAATAGGGACAATTAGGGGAAGAGGTGGCGAGTGAGTTGCTTTTTAGAAGCTGTCTGGGAATTCAGTAAGTTGGGGTGGGAAGATTGGGTGGAAAGAGGAGGAGGACCGCATTCCAGACATAGTGAACAGATGGAGCAAAGGCACTAACATGGGTGGCCGCAGTGCTGGACTGAAGGCAGAGTGGTTAGCTTTGGCTCCAGCAAAGCACTGGGGAGGGGTGTAATATGAGTGGCTGGAAAGGTAGGGTGAAAGGCACCAAGTGCAAAGGAGTTCAGACTTTATTCAGTAGGTAGGGAGGAACCATTGAAGATTGTTCAGCATAGTGGTGACATGACCGGTTCTAGGCAATAGGATTATTCTGGCTATACTGTGAAAGATGGATTTGTGGGAATTGTAGAATCTTACAGTTGGAAGGATTCTGAGAAGTCATCCAATTCTACCTGGGAGTGCACCTTGCATTGCAGAAGGCAAGTCTGTTATCTACTTGACACTCAGTCTCCTCCTCTCCAAAGGAGAAAGGGAAATACAAACAAGGGGACCCTGGAGTTGGTCAAATCCAAGATCACAATGTTTTTCATTCATTTCAGAGGAGTCCTGAAGAGGCCAGGCCAATGTGAACCCCTTTGCTCCTTTGGAACATATCAGAACAAGTACCCCCTGGCTTGGCTCCAGCAAAGATTGCATGTGATCCATCCCCGATAGAATTGACTTCTTCTCCAGGATTTTAAGAAACCTGAAACTGTCCCAGGCCAAAGGGTTTGGACAAGAGATTGCTTCAGTCCTCCAGTTTTATATAACGTGCCTTGGATCAAAAGTAACTTTTCCACAGCTTATGCCACAGTCAAAAAAATATGTGGTCAGAATTTGGAGCATTTTCTTTGGCCCTCAGTCTGTTGAACAGACCATCTGCGGGAGAATTTATGGGAAAACTTGGATAAAAACTGCACAGACAGTGAAGGCATAGAGGAGTTGCAATATGTACTTGTGGAAGGAATGTCTGCCCATCTCTTTAATCATAAAAGTACCAATCATATTTCCTTGTAAAAGAAAGTACCTGAACATGAATAAGCAAAGAATTAATTCTCATTCCCTGTGCCTGACCAATAGTGGTTAACAGTGAGCTGTTTTCCTTCTGATTGAAGGTAGTGAACATGAATACTTCATTCTTTTCTTATGAATGTCACTTATTCCTTCTGCTTCCTCGAAGGAGAGTTTTCAGCCTCAGACAGCTCCCTCACCGATATTCAGGAGCCAAGAAGGCAGCCTATGCCTGACCCGGGTCTCATGCCCCTGCCAGACTCTGCTTCTGACCTGGATTGGTCAAACTTGGTAGATGCTGCCAAGGCTTTTGAGGGTAAGTGTACTGAACCCCTAGAAAGAACCTGTATTCCCTGAAAGAGACATCACAAAAGCATAATGATGTTTGAACTCGGGGTCAACTGGATTGTTTAATGCTAATTCTCAGTGACATAACAAGAACATACATGTTTTCTGGACATCCTCCAGTATAATGAATTGCTTTTCATGAATGTAAATCTATGACAAGGTTGTCTTGTTGAGTCTCCCATCTGTCATACTTACTAAGAAAGGAGGGTTGTGGCAGAATACCAGGGGTCAGTTAGCTGCAAAGAACATAATCCAGAGATGAACACTCACCACATTATGAAGACATTTCCACAACATGGCTCAAATATCTTTGAGGATAGTTTAGGAACTCTTGTCTTCCGAGCCTCTAGGTCCAGCCACCAGTGGCTGTGGCCCTCCTGTGCCCTTCCTCCTCCTTCCTATATGCATAGTCACTTGGATGCTTTATAGCTTCCTGTTGCTCATTTTAAAACTGACCAGGTGACTGGTCACTGGTCAACCGACTAATCCATACTACCTTTTTTAATGTTTGTTGAGCTAAAGCAAACCCCAGATTGTTGGTCCTCCCTCTTTACACATGTGGGGAAGACCAATTTTGTCTTGATTAGAAGGTTTTGATTTCTCCTATGACTCAGATTTTAAATGTGGATGTTTTTAGATGAGGAGGGATCAATTTTTAACTGCTATTTGAGTCTTTGATACCAACACCAATTTTCTTACAGAGTGATATCAATAAGTAGACAGGAACCCCTAATGGGTAATTAACTCTAGTTTCGCTGATTTGAAAGTATTGAACATATGCCCTCCTTCAGATTACTACCCCTTCCCCCCCACTCAAGAATTGACCTTTTATGGAATCTTGAACTTCATATTGCCATGTGCTCTAGTTCATTAAACAGAAAAAGAGGAATTTTTAATGTTTTGCAGATGACAAAGTTACCCTCATTTTATTATAAAACACAGTAAATAATATTTTTGCCACTTCTGGACGCAGAGATTCAATGAAGATTCTTACTTGTAATAACAGTATGGATGTGACAGCCTGGGCACCATGCCCCATGCCTTTTATTTATTTTACATGTTGTATTTTTCCCCTGAAGAGCATTTGTTGGCTTTTTAGTGTGTATAGGGACCTGACTCATTTAATTTCCAAAGGGAAAGAATGAGTGGCTTCTCATTTCCTTTCCAGTCCAGCGAGCCTCGTTCTTTGCTGCTAGTGATGAAAACCACCGACCCCTGAGTGCTGCCTCCAACAGCGACCATCTAGAGGACCAAGTCATGGCCCAGATGAAGTCCTACGGAAGGTCAGGTTCCACAGGGCATGTGTTTTCCTTTGTGTACTCTTTTTTCCTCATGCAATTAAGCATGTGCAAGGGTGGGAACATATGTAACACCTCGCATATTGCGGTGTTATTAGAGGTTGAGATCATTCTACATAAAGCCTTTCTCTATTATAAAGCTTAATTACCTACCCAAACGGACCAGAACCTTTTTGTCTTTAAATTTTCACCATTTTGCATGAAATATTTCCTAAAATATTTTACCTACTTTCTTGCTTTTTTTTAAACAGGGTAGCATATAATGATATGGTGAAGGATTGTTGAGATACGGTGAAGGATTGTTTGGCCCCATACTTAAGTGGTATTACACTGCTATATTTTTGAATTATCATCTCTGCTTTTTAGAATCATTTTTCCAACCACTTCATTATCAGGCTGTTACTTCTTGATGATGCCAGTGTCTCTAGCCCTAACTTCCTTCCTCCCTTTACTCCTCTGATTTGCTGCTTCTAATCTGCCATAGACTAGGAAACCAGATGTTCAAGTTTATTATAGTTGTGTCTAAAACAAAAGAAAGTGGTCTTTACAACAGGCCGGGAGGGGCTGTTCTTTAAGCAAAGTACAGAAGCTCTAGAGCATGGACTTGGTGCTTTTCAGAAGTCTTTTCTGCTTGTTTCCTGCCTTTTGGCTATGGTCTGAGTACTGAAGGCTGTTCCTATAAAAGAGAAGTCCATCAGTCAGTCACGTAACACTTAGTAAACATCCCAAGTGTAGAAAGTGCTGTGTTAGGAGGTAGGTGGTTATTGCTGGTCCAACCTATACCTGAATAAGAATCCCCTCCGCAACATTCTCAACAAATGGTCATTCAGCCTTTCCTTGAAGACTTCTGTTGAGTGAGAACCAAACATCCTGTTCAACTTCAGAGAAGCCCTAATTGTTAGGAAGCTTTTCCTTTGTATCAAGTTCAAGTCTGTTTCCTGACCTTCCGAATTTTGCTCCTAATCCTGCCCCATGGGCCAGGCACAACAAATATAATTGCCCATGATATTCCTTCAATTACTCAAAGACAGTGATCATATTAAGTATATCTTCATATTAAATATTTTCTCACCATCCAAAAAAAACAAATCTACTCCACACGTTCTTCCAACTCTATGGTCTTATGAAAAATTGTACTTTTTAAAAAAAAAAAGGGTACAATATAGCATCATTGGAACATCTCAGCCTTGAGCAAAATTCAACAGTTTGGGCCTTCAAGAGAGCTTAGAGGTGGAGGGGAGGACGAAGAAAAGTCTAAAGGAAAACTCAGATATCATCTTTCTTTGGGAAAAGGTACATGAGGAAATGTTAGGCTTGTTTTATTTAGGATGGAAAAGAACTTGTGGCTGTCATATTGTACCCTCTCCTGTTAATTAGGTAAGAGCATTGAAGCCTTGGTACTTAATTTCCATTCTCCTGTTCCATTACAGACCACTTTATTAGCAGTTTAGAAGATACCGCATGCCATTTTAGTCAGCAGAAGTCCATTAATTGCAATTGGTGGTATCTTTGCAAAGTCATATTTGCTGCTTGTGGTACATGAACAGGCAAGATTTTTAGCTAATAAGTTTTTACAGAGGACAGTGGCAGAGAGCCCAGTTTTCCTGGCCCTTTGTGAGGTGGTTATTATATTATTCCTTTCATTTGGCAAGCTTGTTACATACCTTATTACTGTGGTATTTGCTTTATGGTGCTCCAGATGAACTAGAAGCAGAGATCTGCCTAGTCTTCTCTAGGACAGGAATTCTAATTTGCACTTTGACTAACACCTCTTCTCACTTCTCTCCAAAAAAGGCAAATGAGATCGGTATCTCCTCCCTCATGGACAGTCTTGGGCTTATAGAGATTACATGACCAAAGGTCACATGAGAAATTTATAGAAAGAGTAGGCACCCTAAAGAACTGCCATCTAGGAAAGAGATGGAGTGTGTTCTCCTTGGTTTTACCAAGCAGAATGAGGAATGCTGGGTGGACATTGTTGTAAAGACTTCGGCTGTGTTCAAATTGGCCTTGCCATTTGTTTTTAAGGTAACTTTAGAAAATTTAACCTGGTTTTTAGGGTGTGATTAGATAATTGGCTGCAGAAAGTGATTTTCTAAGAATCACCAATCTGGACAGCCTTTCCTCATTGCCTTAAGACAGGCCTATATCCCAACTGTCTCCCACAGGTGGGTAGCTGTTCTGTCTTGAGAAAGCACTGAGAAATTCCATAGTTTCCTAAGAAATTATTTCATTGTTTGGCAGTTATCATTGTCAGAAAATTCCCCCTTTATGTGTTGCCTCCCCTTCATATTATCAAAGAGTTTGTTTTTGCTTATTATCCTTTGTTCTTTGGAAACAAAGATGTATCCTCAGCAAAGGCTGTTATTGACTGTAGCTAAAACACATGTATAACTTCTGTTATTGAAGTTGTCCTTCTGAAAAAAATATATATATTACATTGACCATACTGAGCAATTTGACATTATGAAAACCCGTTTACAAAGGCAGTCTCACGTTGTGAGATGTAAAATGGATAATTTTGATTCCAGTGTAGCTAAGGTCAGAAGGAAAGCAGAAAATTGGGAGGGGAAAATTTATAAACCGTTTCTCAGATAAAGGTCTCATATCTCAAATACATAGAGAACTTTGTCAAATTTATAAGAATTTGAGTTACTCCCCAATTGAAAAATGATCAAAGGATATGAACAGGAAGTTTTTGGATAAAGAAATCAAAGCTACATATAGTCATATAAAAATGCTCTAAATCATTATTGATTAGCGAAATGTAAATTAAAACAACTTTGAGATATCTCACACCTGTCAGATTGGCTAAAATGGCAGAAGGGAAAAATGACAAGTGTTAGAGGGGATTTGGAAAAATTGGAACACTAATTTACTGTTGGAACTGTAAGCTAGTCTATTCATTTAGAGAACAAACTGGAATTATTCCCAAAGATTTATAAAATTGTGCGTAGCCTTTGACTCAGCAATACCACTATTAGGTCTGTTTCGCAAGGCACAGGGAGAAAGGAAAAGAACCTGTATGTTTGTTCTAAAATATAGATAGCAGCTCTACTTGTGGTGGCAAAGAACTGGAAGTGGAGGGGATGCCCATCGGTTGGGGAATAGCTAAAAAAAGTTGTAGCATATGAATGTGATGAAATACTATTATGCTGTAAGAAATGATGAGCAGGTTGATTTTAGAAAAACATGGGCAGACTTGCATGAAATAATGAACAGAATGAAGAGAATATTGTATACAGTAACAGCAATATTATTTGAAGAATAACTGTGAACAACTAAGCTGTTCTGAGAATTATAAATATTCAAATCAACTACAAGGGACCTGTGAAGGAAGATGCTATCCACCTCCAGAGAAAGAACTGATAAGTAGAAGTATGCATAGTATGGATCTACATATGTATAAATAGGAAGCTATAGATAAGTATAGATGTAGATATATCTGTGTCAAATAGTGGCCTTCTCTAGTACCAGGTGGGGAGGGGCTGAGGAAGGAAGACAGTTTATAACTTAAAATGTGACACACATATGAAAAATAAGTCACGGAGATTCCCGCTAACTGAGATCCTGGTCTTTTTTTTCTCTCTTTCCCAGCAGTAAAGATTCTTCTCCTACACTGGCTTCTAAAGTGGACCAATTGGAAGGTATGCTGAAAATGCTTCAAGAAGATTTGAAGAAGGTAAACACTTATTCTAAAAGCAAATATCCCAGTCTGTATCTGGTGCCAAGGCCAAAGTAAGCTTTGTTGAAGTACACTCTTGTTGTACAAGGTCAATTTTTTTTCTCCATTTTAATTGTAGGTTGAAAGTGCTCCCCAAGTTTAGATACCCTAGGACAGATTTAGATGAATGCTCAGGGCAGGACAGCTACCAATTGGTTATTTTCCTAGTCCCTGTCACTTGAGATATAACCAAAACAAATATTTGGTGCAATTCACAAAAAGTGTTTTTCTTTTCACAAGAATTTTTTGAGTCTCAGTCAGAAACATGATAGGTGGACATATATCAACAACATGGAAAAGGGACTTGTTCTCATGTGTATGGGTTCTCATGTGCTTCTACACTGGATTTTTTTCCCAAGCTGAATTCTAGTGATTGTTGCCCAGAAAGAATGAATATTACCCCATAGCATCAAGGTTGGGAATTTCTTAATTCTTAGCACTCTAGGACATATATCTGGGTATCTAGTGGATGTGAAAATAAGGGGCCCCATATGACCCACATCTAGTTTCCTTCTTGGGTATAAGCCTATGCCTTCTACCTTTTGGGCACTCGCTCTCTGAGGGTTCGTTTCCTCCTCTTTGTCACCTCTCAGGAAAAAGAAGACAAAGCCCATCTTCAGGCTGAAGTCCAGCATCTTCGGGAAGACAACTTGCGTTTACAGGAGGAGTCCCAGACTGCATCGGACAAGCTGAAAAAATTTACTGAATGGGTCTTCAACACGATTGATATGAGCTAAAGACTGATAAAACATTCAGGTGGGGAAGGGAAGGTGTGGAAAGGGACCAAGAGGGAATGTTTCCTTTCTCCTGAGACTGCTTTAATGCCCCGTATCATGTTATTGAGAGCATCTTCAGAGCACTTTCCCCACCTTCCTTATAGATATCCCCTTTTTTTGTGAGTGCACAAACAGAACAATTGCAGATCAACAATCAACGTCTGCCTTTTGTAGAAAAACAAAAACAAAAAAATAATTAAATAAAAAATTTAAAAAGTAAAATAAAAGTTTAACTGCTAAAATGTGAATGTCTTTATTTTTTTGCACAGTATCTTTCTCTGTAATGTATAAAGAAAAAAAAGTGGGGATTAGACTAGAAGCACCTAGTCCATCTGCCTCATTTACTTCCCATCAGCTCTTTCCTTTCTGTTTCAGGTAATCCAAGCTTTTTCTGCTCTCCTGGCAAATAGGATGATTACTAGAAAACTAGTACATGTTTATTTTGGATTGTTTATTGGGGGGTAGAGTTGGGGCCGTGAGAGGTCTATGTTCCTTACATTCTTTGCTGAAGTGACTAGAGATGAGGAGCTTATCTCCCTTGAATGCATGAGTAAATGCTGTTTTTCCCTGTGTTACCCAGAGCAACAGAAATAGGCCAGGGAACAGAGGCTTAAGACCATGGGGGGGGGGGCATGTTATTCATGATCTTTTCCACATCCCACATTACTGCGTGACTTGTCATCTGTGGTTTCCTGTGGATACACTTCCACCTGCTTTCCACAGGGCAAATATATTTCTTAAGTGAAATCTTAAGCAAGAATTGACCTCTAATAACCCTCCTGGCTGTAAACATACAGTTATTTAAAATTCCTTCACACCTCCTCCGTTGAATGACCCATCCCAACAACTTCAGACTCTCTCTTTTATGTAATCAAAAAGCGATGGTCCCTCTGTATGGATTTTCTTTAGTGGGGTATAAGGGAAAAGATTCATGATACCAAAAGCTGACTGATTAATGCTGATTAAAAGTACCCAGAGAAGATTTAGGTGTTAGTCTTTGCTAGGGGACAGTTAGGAAAATCGTGATAAAATTAAATTATAAAACGGTAAAGAGCTGTTGCTTACCTTTTGAATGCACAATATTTCCATGCTTGACGATATGTCTAGAATTGGCTTTTCCCCAAAGTGACATCAAAACATGGGATTTTCCAAATTGAGGCCATCAAAGCATTTTCTCTGAAGAAATGATTGATTTGCCATTTAAGTTCAAAAAGCCCAAACGGTTTGGTTATGACAGGACACAATGGGCCCCAATACTACTCTAAACCATGGTTAACCCTCTGGAAGGAAAGCAACTCAAGCCTTTACCTCTGAGCCTTCATAATCACAAAATTTGTCATCATCCCTGTAATTGAGCAATTGACCTACAACAATTGTTCATCATTTTGATGTCTTTCAGATTTTCTCTCATATAGTTTAAAAATAATTTATCTCTCCCCCGACCCCCAGAGAAGCCATATACATTCATATTCTCTTTCTTCCTCAAATTTTTAGCTAAAATCTCACTCCATGTTGTCATTTCCTTATCCCCTCATGAAATCCTTTTCTAATAATACTTGCATTATGGGAAAAGGAAGATTTCCAAGTTATTTTGTAAAGATTGTGACTCTTTCTCTTTGATTTGTATGAAGGAGGTTTGTACAGTGCCTGATATTATTTGTAAATGGGATATATTGCTAACATCCAAGCATTCTGAAGCCTTGCTTATCCTAAGTTTGTTCTTTATTTTGTTTTAAATTTTGTTTTGGGACTTGGGGCAGACTATTTATTAGAGTTTTGCAACAGAATTCTTGTATGAAGCCTCTAAAGGCTACTTGTAAAATTCAGACAATAAAACTGACTTTAAAGGCTCTTCTAAAACCTTTTGGCATTATTTTTTTTGAGGTTTTCTTATTTTCAAAAATGACACAAGAATTTATCTTGCTACTTCACTTCCTTTTCCACCACATTTCTTTAACATCACATAATACTAAAGTTTTATTATCCATGATTAGATTATGTATCTAAGAGAATGCATAATGAACCTTCTGTGTTTAAGTTAACATTTCTATACCACTTTATATTTTCAAAGTGCTTTTATAATGGAGCAATTCTTGATTATTCACATGTGAAATTTTCATAGGAAATTTTAATTCCCTGAGACTTGGCACATTGTTCATTCCCAACATCAGTTGGTATATGCTCAGAGCATGCAAATTAATATTGCTCTTAGCCTGTGTAAAATGTAATTAGAAAAGTTAATCTACTGCAAAACAACAACAAAAACCATAATGCATTTCACAACCACGTAGAATTGATTTTTTGGATTATCCACATAACTGTTCTTCTCCAGTGGTGCAGCTAATTGGGAATTGATTATATTTTTATACTTTATTCCTCTCAGCAACCCTAGAAATTCTAGAATCATGGAGTTATACTGGATCACAAGATAGCCTCCCACATGGAATTCTGACAACCTATGAAGATTACATAGAGATAAATACTCTCAGGTATATAAGGTGTCCCAAATCAGTTTTAAGCTATTAAAGCTAAGACTTTTGGGATACCCTGTATGCAGCACTATAGTTTTTGATGCCATGCCAACTAAAGTGATATTCTGGATGAGATGGTCCTGGGAGTGGAATTATTTTATGAAACATACATCTAACTTACGAAGTTTATGAAACTCATGATACTAAGATGAACTGTCACAGGGTCTAGATAGGACAGGACTTCATATATAATTTAGGCCACCTTCTACCCTCAGAGGGGAGGAATATGGTTCCCAGAGGAGTTTTGACTTGCCTAGAGACACACCACTAATTAATAGCTGAACCAGGAGAAGAGCCCAGATCTGCTATACAGTGTTCATTCTACTACTTCACATGGCCTCCTCCATATGGAGACAGTAGATTTAAACACAAAATAGTCAACTTTAAGACATAAAAAATCCAACATGTATACTAAGAAAAAAACAAAACAGTCAAGTGTCATCCTTGACCATGAGCTGAATGAGTAGTTATGTGGAGGTATTAAAACAACAAATAAAGATCTGTTGTGTGTTTTTCTTCATACATGAATTAGAATACTATAAACCTAGTGTATGCTAGAAATACACTATAGAATTGTATAGAATACAATTATATAGAAATACACTATAGAATACATTTATAGAATACTATAAATCCATAGTGTATGCTAGAAAATCAGAGGATTACAGTTTTAGAGTTGGAAGGAACCACTGAATTCATCTAGTCCTGGTGTCTTATTTAATAGATGAGGAAACAGGGACAGAAATGCAAAGGCCAATATCACACAGTAAGCAGCGTAGTCAGAATTTGAACCCATCTTCTGGCTTCAAATCCAGCTTCCTTTCTACTCTACCACACATCCACCACCTTTAACTTTGGCCAAATGCTTGTTATTTAGCCAAAACATTTCTCCACATTTAAGAAAGACGTAGAGGGACTAATAGATGCAGAGAAAAATAACAATGATGGTTAAAAAGAAATGGTTGAAGAAAACTTACTGTCTCCCATATCAACTAATCAATCAACAATCATTTATATGATGTCTATGGAGATTATTATGACAACGGTGGCTCATTTGTTTTTCGCCTCCACAGAGGACTGATCTGGGGGAGACTGTATACATATGGGTATACGTGGACTGCTAGGGAGCCCTGGCATTGGAAGAGTAAGGGTCATCAGGAAAGGCTTCATAAAAAAGCTAAATACCAGTCTTGAGAGATTCCAAGACACGTAAGAAGGGAGTGCATTCTAGGCACGGAGATGGACTCTTCGAAGGCATTGTAGACAGAAGAGGGAACACTGCATAGAGAACAGCAAGTCAGCCTAAAACACAAATCATGTAGTAAGTGGAAAGATAGTAAAGTACCTAGTTGAAGGAGTTTATATTAGATTGAGATAAGAGAACCATTGGAATTTGTTGAAAGAGTAGGGGCTGGTGACATGATGATACTTTTACTTGGGGAAAATCACATTGACAACTGTGTGGAGGATAGGATTCTGCTGAGGAGGGCAAACCTTATGGTGGATCCTGGGTAGCTAGGGGTCAATATGAAGGCCCTGATGGCCTAGCAGGGAGGTGCTGGAAATGAACTGCTTGTATCATAGCGTAGATCCAGGTACAGCCCAAGTAAAGAGGACCAATCTTGTTTTAAGAGGTTCTTTTCAGCTTCCTTCAGGAATCTTCCCTCTCTCTCCCCCCCGTCCCATTTTAATAGAGAAAAAAAGGCCTTTCTCAAAACCACCTCTTCAGCATTAGCTAAGTTTCTCTTAATCTGCCCTTACCAGAGATAGTAAAGGTTGGTAATTCTTCATACAATACTACAAAGGCTTAAAAGTTTTTATTGTTGTCCTTACCTTTCTCTTCTCAATAGTAATTAACCCCAGTTCCTCTAGCCTACTTAGGTTTTATTTGCCAAATAATTTTTCATATTTCTGGTTCTCTTACTCATCCTTTAATTTATGGAGCTAGTAAAGACCTTCTCTATTTAAGCAAATAGATCTCCTTATACCTTTCTCTTGTACATCTTAAACTTTTCACTTTTTGAAATTATTTGCCTTTTCTACCTTTCATTCTACCCTTTTAATAATAAATCAGGGTGGCCAGGCGGTACAGTAAATAGAATCCTGGCCCTAGAATCAAAAAGACCAGAGTTCAAATCTGGCCTCAGACACTTACTAGCTGGGTGACCCTGGGCAAATCACTTAACCCTGTTTGCTTCAGTTTTCTTCATCTGTAAAGTGAGCTGGAGGAAAAGGCAAACCACTCCAGTATCTTTGCCAAGAAAATCCCCAAAATAGGGTCATGGGGGGTCAAACTCAACAACAGCAAAATATAAATCTCATTACATCATTTCCTCTGTGCATTTCATTATAACCCCTCAGACATCTCGTTATAGTCTTTACATCCCATTATAGAACTTCAGTGTGAGCATCTTATCACACCTTTCTGTTCCAGAATTGATTTATACCCTTTCCCCTAGTGTCTTGTTATAGTCCTCCAGTGTTTACATCTCATTACACCCTTTAAACATACATATTGCATCTCACATTCCATCTAAACCTCCCACTGCTGACTGGAAGTGCACAGGTTTCATGTCTCCTTTTAACCAGGCTCTTGCCAAGCATCTGTCTCTACCTTTAAACATATGCAGCTCATTGCCACCTTCCACTTAGATATACTTTGTTACTCATTTTAAACCTGCATGTTCTTTTAGACATTTTACACTCAATCCTATGTGCCTCACACTCTACCTTTAAATAGGAGGATTCTTTTAAGCAGCTCATTACCTATTCCACTGATATAACACCTACCAGAATGGATTAAATTCTCATTACACACCCATGTGTGCCTTTCATTTTCAGTCATATTCAGTTGTGTCTGACTCTTTGTAACCCCATTTGGGGTTTTCTTGACAAAGATAGTGGAGAGGTTTGCCATTTCCTTCTCTGGGTCATTTTACAGATGAGGAAACTGAGGCAAGCAGGGTTAAGTGACTTGCCCAGGACAGCACAGCTAAGTATCTGAGGCCAAATGAAACTCATAAGATGATTCTTCCTGATTCCAGGCCCAGCACTCTATCCACTTTGCCACCATGCCTTTTATTAGTTTTACCTTTCAAAGGTACTCATTTGAGCTATTTCTCATCTCTTATGACACCCTACTCCCCACACCTGCTGTTCCCGGGCTTTTTTGTTAGGACTTTAGAAATGAGCTCTATCATCCAACCAAGAACCTGCCTTTCTGTGAAACCCCTGAATTCTACTATAACACCTCTCTAATTATATTTGGGGAAAGGTCAATCTCAATTAGTGAAGAGTCTTAACATGCAAATATATTTAAAGTACTACTGCTTAACTCTGTGATATGGTAGTAGATCCAAAAGAAGAAAATGTTAACAAAGTGTTAACTGAAATGGCAGTGTTTAAGGGATTTGCTTTAAGGAATAATTAAGAATGATTTCTAATTAGTCTCTTTTGCTTGTATGTAAGTGGTTGCTTTATGAAATGCCTGAGGGGACTTAAAAATAGTTTGTTCTCTTAAATTTAAGTGTGCTTACACTGTCTCCACACCATAAATTTGCTTTCTAAAAGGTATTCTTTATATATAGGTGTCGGGGCCTCGTCAAATTAACACAAATTCCAAATTAATGAGTTTTCCTGTGCTAAATATTTCTTTCAAATTAAACTGAGGTTAATGTTCCAGATTGGTGTAGAAGCCAGGAATAAATTTACAAACACAGAAGAAAAACACATCTCCTCCCCCCAAATATTTACTAAATGATTACTATGTGCAGAGAACAAGGCTAGGTACTGGAGGAGACAAAATGTTTAAATTAGAAGAGTCTTTGTCCTCATGGAGCTTACAATCTAGTAGAAGAATATGATTCATAATATATAATGATATATGGTAAGTGAATTTAGGAAATGTGAAACAAGAGGTATATGCGGGACTAGTGGGGTGAATTTTATCTTGAAGGATTGGAATTCTTTTTTTTAATTCATTTTTTCATTTTAAATTTGAAAAACACTCACAAATATAAGCATTTCCATACACAAAGAAGAACAGAATAAGAAGTTTGGGCATGAAACCAGGGATCTCCATTGTATACAGCTTGGTTGTTTTCTTCTAAGCATATGGTAACATTCAGAACATGGTTTCAAAGTTGTCCTACGTCGGTGTTTACCTCTGAACTTCCTTCTTTACTCCTTTTTAAATACTGCTTAATTATTGCTCATAATTAAAAAAAATTTTTTTTTACATGACCTTTACTCCCCCTTGGGCAAATAGCTAAAAAGAAAGAGTTCGAGTACTGAAGAGCCATAGTCAGGATCACACAAGATTATGCTAAA